CTGCGCTCACCAACAACTCCTGTAATCGTAATTTGCTCTCTAGAAACCAAGACAGAAAAAAGGGATAGGAAAAGGCTTACGACACCAGCTGTCCCCAGTCTTCACGGAGAGCCCGTAGCACGGCTCCCTGCAGCAGGCACTGGAATCAGATTGTGTCACTGGAAAATGACGAACCACGAGGGAGGAAACTTGTGCAAAGTTAAAAGATTTTGATGGGAAAATATTAAAGGAACTTGGAACTCTGCAAAGTCAGAAGGACACGGTGAAGTCCTGTCCATCCTTGCCATGCAGGTCACTGCTCTGGGCTTACTGAAGCCCTGAAGCTCTTCTTACAGAATACAACAGTTTCACTGCATGTAACCAAAGTAAAACAGGAAGTTCCTGAACTTGAAAAATGTCTTTAAAAAAAGACTGTTCTGTTTGAAAATAATTAGCTTCATTTCACAGTCAATTGGCACACAAAAATTCACTTGCAGCTTTAGGATGCAAACACTCAGAAGACGTGTGGGAGTATTTCCTTAGAAATAAATTCCTGAATCATAACTACTATGCTTGAACTAACACATTAATAAAACCATCAATAAATTCTTCAAAAGACACCCTCCAAGTGACAGAGTTTTCCATTATATGAAGAGGCAGAAGAGGCAACATTTTCCTAGCTTAACAGCTCTTCTAGTGGAGAGAACTGTCCTCTTTGGCGAGAACATTTTAAATTATCGCCTGATCCTGTAGTCCGGGCACTCGGGACGTGTAATCCTGTAAAAACGTTACCCAGCAATGTTAAAGGAACAGCAACCTAAGGAAAATGAAGATGCTCAAGACACAAGACTACTTCTGAATTCTGTAAGCATCTTTGATATTAAGACTAACAAATAGCAATATGTTTCTTTAGAAAACCTACAAAGTTCAAGAAAAAAGGTTAAAATAAAAGGCAGACCTGCTATTTTGGCAAGTCCGTGGAGGAAATTCTTCTTGGCTCAGTTATGAAGAAAGCTATTATTTATAAAAGCCCATCTTTCTGTTTACTTTGGAGAATTGCTGTTCCAAGTTAATGCGGCTTAGTGAGGAAAACATATGTATGAATGTTTCATACAAGGAATGACAGACTGATATCCTGAACAACCCAAACAGGATGAGAAAGAAAAAACCTAATGTGTTTTATGCTAAACAGAGAACCCAAATTAATAAATTGAAACTAGCATGAAAAGATGGTCCTCATCAAGCTTTGTGCTTGACTGATACCGCCCTGTAGAAACTGAGAGCTTAATCACATTCTCAATCTAGCATCTCGACTTAGTTTGGATTCTTTTGCAAATCTTATTTGATCATTCTTTCTTGGGGGAAGAAGATATACTCTTCATGGTAGACATTAAGAATCTCGGCTATTTCCATGATGTTAGATTACCACTAATAAGATTACCCTAGACACTCCTTTTTATTTTAATCCGTAGTGTGATTGAATTTAAAGACTCTCAGCAGCACCCCACCAGCATCTGGAAACGAATCGGCTGATTCGGAAAGAATTTTCTTGTCCTTTCAATTAAAAACCATCTGTGTCTTTTTGAGGACCCATTGCATTGTATTTAAGTACAGTCTACTGTATTTGGGACACCTGAGTACACTCTGCCTGTATTGAGAAGAACATGTTTCTCACTGAAAGAAGCACCACTACGAAGGGTAAATGAGCTGTTAGTTCTTTCAAAAGCAAAGTTTCCGTGACTGCAGCGAGCTTCTTTGCAATGTAACATAAATTAAGTAATCCTGCATAACACAGGAGTAGGGGAGTATTTTTAATCTGTGAAGTACACTGCCTCAAATAATCACTGAATTAAAAGGGTGATGCAATGGTTACTTGCAAGATCCACCTTCCACAATGCTGCTTGCATGTTGCTGAAATGCAATGCTGCTTGCAAGCAAGACTGAGTATCTTGCACAATTTCAGGAGGAAGACACTAACACTGAACTTTTAAGATGGACTCTCCTTAAATCAGCTTTTGCATTGCCAGAAGGTCTGTGTTAGTCCTCCAGTAGAGAGGCATTTGCAAATGGTGCCCAAATTATCCCACGATGAGGGCTTTCAGGCTTAACAAGCAGCATCTTAAAATAACTGAATAGATCGGAAAAGTGAATGAGCCTCAAAGAACAAAGCGTTCTAGGTAACTTTTTGCCCTCTTAGCTACTTATGAAAGCACATTCAACACCCTTTTCCTCAGCAAAGGAGTACCTTTTCATCTTAGCTATGAACAATACAGATAGGGACACTTCTAAATAAATGAGGTAAAGAAAGAGCCCTAGACTATGAAGTCTGTTTTAAAGAACGAAGCCTGACACTACTAAATCAAAGACGACTTCAAGCTGACGCTTAAACACATCCCAGATACTCATTACACAGTGCAGCCACCTGCCATTATCCGTTTTCACACAAGAGAATCGATTGTTCTTCATGCCTAGGAGCTAAGTTTGCAACACCTCCAGACTGCCTGTGAATTCTAGCAGGAAAGTGAAGAACCCAGGGTACCAATAACCAACCTAAGCAGAACCCTGTAGCTTGGCAACTTGGGAGACGGAGCAGTTCGCAAGAGGGTTGCTTCCACCTGCTGGAGATGGGAAATATTAATGCAAGACCAAAAGACCCCTGCTGCCCATAGGGACCAAGACAGTGATGGTTTGGGGAGGCGGGGAGGCTTTCACTTCATGCTGAAAGAGAAGCAATCCCACCTGAGCGACCAACTCAGATTTCACCCAAACCACAGATGTGCACACACATGCGCACGAGGGGCTTGCTGCTGACAAGATGGCCAAGCGTTAACTGAAACTGAACATGCACAGATCTCAAATCCTCTGAAATCACACCAAAAAGATCGACCCAATTCAACCTAAAGAGCACACAGGGCTCCTCCCGTGTGCTTCCCCATAGCATGCAGAGACGCGCCCATCCCACGAGCTCAGGCCCCGCAGCGCAGAGAAACGTCCCTTTCCAGCAGCGCAGAAAGGAGAATTTCATCTCTGCTCACCTCTCCAGATGGCCAACATGGGGAAACCACGAGCAGCTCGGGCTCCAAACACCCCCCTTGCTCAGCACGGTTACTTACTGCACGCATTGCTCTCAGAGCAGCAGCCGGGCCGGCTGGACGCTGCCAACATACGTAGCCCCCGTGCCTGTTCGGTTCTGCCATTCCTCTCGTTTTGGGCAGTGAGAAGCGCCGCTATTCAGTTTTTCCTTCAGCTTTACCAGCACTAGTGGAATATTGAAACTACTCCCCCAACCACCACCACTCCGCTTCCCCTTTCCCATCATTAGAAACACCTCTTTTATTGGAAACTGCATTTAAGATGCGATTTGGAACAAATAATTTGATTGTGCCTGCTGATGCACCGTCTCAGCACTGCGCTGAGTCAACACCCGAAGCCATCTTCCTCTCATCTGCAAACAGATGTAAAGAAAAAGGCCACTTCTATGTAATTCCTTAACAATTAGGAATTAAGTAATCTAGACATCATTCAGCTTCCAGTAATACAATCTCTTCTATTTCACACTGGTTTTAGTAATTTAAAGACATTCTATAAACAGTTTGCTAAGACGATCAGAGTCGCGGTTCTGTTTCTGCAGTCGCTCCAACGTGCGTGGTTTGCTTCATACACCTGCCCAAACCCCGTACACCTCACAGACAGGACAAGCGATTGAGATTTTTTTATGGGATGCTGCGAAAGTGAAAAATATTTAAGTGTGAACAGCACACCAGGCAATCCACGCTGCATCTTCATTCACAACGATCCTAAAACACATGCATTATAAACACATGCATTATAAAAACAGGAATCGCCATAAATCACTGTTATCTTAAGTTATCTCGCATTTTTCTTGTAACTGACGTTGTTTAGATTTTATCATCAGCCAATTAGAATAATTACATGCAAGCTTGTTGCAGCAGATAACCATAAAACATAATAAATCTAAAGACATTTGTAGAGAGTTACCCGTTCAATGAAAACCACATTTAAACTTCAGTATGTAACCAAGTTAAACATCCTTTTTCAGCCCATAAAGACTCTTCAGACTTTCAATACTATTTATACTGCTTTTTTAATTTGAATTTGGCAACATAAGGGTATATAATCTCACACACCCTTCTCCTGACCGACTTGGATTCTGGTATGCGATGAAACACAGGCTAACTCACAGCACAGACTAAGTTCTTCAAGTCAGCTTGAGGGAATTAACACCACACTCCCTTAAAGTCCTTAGGAAAAAAACATCCAAGCCCCTACATCAGTAGCATTCCTGGATCAATTAATTGCCAGTGCTTAATGAATCAAATAGGACACTTATCTTGAGACAGAAAAATAACTACTGAAGAGTCAAAAGAAAAGTCGAGAGAACATTGTTCTCCCTGGCTACACACTTTAAAAGCAGCCACTCATCTCAGACTACAAGTATTCACACATCAAAACACATTTTAAGCCTTAGCAGTACCTCAAAAACACACATTATTCTTAAGAGTTACCAAACACCCATCTCACCATTACTAGCAACAAGCTATGGCGGTTCTCTTACACGTGAGGAAGCGACACCTGAGTATCAGGAAGTACCGAAGATAGTATCGTTAAGACCAAATTACACCTGCACGTGGTGTAATTACATCACCAATATACTGTGCAAGGAAAATTCTTCAACCTTGACATCAGTTTGCACACCTGCTAAAATAAATTCCAACCTTTTCTCTCATTAATTCCAACAATTATAATGGTGTTTTGGGGGTGCTTTAGGCCCCTCTATGTTCAAAAACAAAACTACCAACTCCTTTCACAGGAGAACCAGCCTGCGTTGCCGTGACACTGAGAACCAGTGCTTGGTTCTTTTGAATCGTTGGCAACACAAGTTTCTACATTTTTCAGTTTCTGGCAAGCGAATGTATTTCAGAGATTGATAAAGATCACCCTGTAAACAGATCTAATGACCATTTTTAATTTCAACCACAGAAATGGGAAGAGTGGCTTACTTGGGTCTCGACTGCTGTACGGCCATCCTGAGGCAGGTAAGAAAGATGGCACTGGAGAACTTGCCCTGCTGTCATCCTCCACTTGCTGCGTAATATGCCGCACAGTTTCTTTATTTTTTCGGTTCTTCCTGCGCCCAGTGGGTTGCCAGCCATCCCCTACTCCTTGTTCTGAGAACGCATTCTGTATTGCACTATCCTTGGCAGAATGTAGTTCACTCCCTCCATAATGTGACGGTGAAACCTGCTCCTCTTTGATACGTAAAGACCCATAGCCCATGTCACTAGACCAAAGAGACTGGGATGAAATGTCTTCGTGGCTGTCTGTTTTTGGTTCTTGATCCTCTTTTCCGTAACTGCTCCCTCCTTCGTGGCAGCTGGCAATAGCTGAATCTCCAGAAGAGTTTGCCGGACTTGTTCGCCGAGCTAACCAGGGAGATATACTCCTGCCAGCCACGACTGCTGAAATCAAAGCATCTGTGCTACTGCTGGAAGGGGCTCCAAGTTCATAATCGACGAGGTCATCCGAGGCATCGGACTTTATGCTTATGTCGAGAGCTGCTTTTATGAAATTGTGACAGGCTTGTACAATATCTGTCATCTGCAGATAGCTAGCGGCTGACATCACCTCAATGACGTTTCTGCTGGTCAGCGCTAGGTGTGCGGAATACATGAAGTCAATGATTGCTTTGAAGCCTTGCGCAGTTACAATGTCTAAATGGGTGACGGTGGCCTGGTCGGAGGTTTTCTGTACCTGACAGTACAGCGTTTTGAAGTAGCGACTACTCCCAAGCAGAACGTTTTTGTGAGCCTTAAATATCTTCCCCTCCACTATAATGCAAACATCGCAGAGGATGCCGTGCTGTCTCTGCTCGTTAAGCTCACGCAGAAGATGACGGTAGTGGGAAGCAATCTCCATATCTTCCTTTCGGTTATTCATTTGGAAATGTTTGTGTTTCCTCTTCCACAAGTCCTGTATGGGGAAGGAAATGACAGTATTACAAAATCCAATACAAGCTCACAGGCGTGTTTTTCAAAGACCGAGACAAACCCCAAGCTGTACCAAATTAAGTAACAGGTTCATCTTGAAAGAATGCCACAAAACACAACTACTGCCTAGAAAGCCTGCACATCCATTACACAATGCAGCTTATTTTTACCAGACTTCAAATAATTTACGTTAAAAGGAACTAGATTTGAAACTCAATCCTCCAGTGGCTCGTAACATCCCAGAGAAACAGTTCTTTAAATTACTACAGACTTGTTAGAAAACCTGTCTTAAGTTACTTGGGTAATACAGCTGTCCGTTTCCACTGTTTGGGTTCAGTGAAGTTTGGTTTTGAAAGAGGTACTGCACTTAAAACCACGCTGATGGAGACAAACTATTGAAGAGCACTCTGTAACACAATTTCCTCAAGGGAACAAGCATTATGCATAGCACACTGAATAGCTGAAATCCTCAAACGGCAAGAGCCGATTGAAACCAGCTATTTCCCTTGCTATATTGCCGTTGAGGGGCTATAAATACTGTTTTCAAGTCAGAAGAGCAATAGGCAAATCCAAGACCACAGATCACAAAATTTTAAGTCCCCACCCAAACTAAACTGGCAGTAGATCAGAACTATGAAATTAATGTTATTTGAAGCTTAACTACTTCTAAGCACAAGATTTTTAACTTTGCAATAAAACATATTATTTCCTTGGCTTTACATCTCCAAGTTTACCCCGCAACCACCCTAAGACATTGGGTAGAAAAATTCTAATAATCACCATAACATTCATGTTTAGAAAGGATGCTTATGACCAAAATAACAAAGCATCTTTCGAGCTGAGAAGAATTCACAGGACTTTTGATCACCTTTCATTAAATTTGACAGTATTAACCCAAAAAAACCTAGTTAGTGCCAGCAGCATGGCAGAGACCCATATCTTGTGAGTGATGCTCCAAATTATCCTCCTCTTACGCCCCAAACCAGAAAACCAGGTCTCAAATGTGGCTACACTGACAGTAATCAGTGGCGCTAATATTTTCAGATTGAATTTTATCCCACCTACAAAGTACAATTACGAGAAGAGTAATACATCAACACGGACGAGCGCATACATACATTTCTCGCAGCATTCAGCAACTCACTCCTACCACGCGGTTTAGTCTGTTGTCCATTCCGCACCATCAGAAAGGCCCCGCCCTTCGTCTCCCAAGGTGACTCTTCGCTGGTATCGGGCATATCAACACATTCTGTCTCTCAAGTGAGATGACTTGAAGTTCACAACGCTCAAGGCGTTAAGGATGGACGCTGGCAGCACCAGAACAGACCGATGAAGTACTCTCCGCGACACCGTACCTCGGCAGTTACTACCTTTGCAACTCCATACTCGCCTTCGCTGCCATGGCTTTACAAATTCCTTGGCGTTAATTTCTGCCATTTTATCTAGCTTATACCGCTTATTTGGAAGTTACTATCAAGATTTATATCCTGTATAACAGCGGTTTAATGGTCCAACTAATTAAGAGCACCGAGCTGCCACACAACATCTACTCCTTTCTCTCAAAAACTTAAATCTGTTCCAATATAAGAAGTTCCAACTGTAAAATTGATACGTGGGTCCACATGCCAACATACAACTGTAAAATCGGTATCTACTGACAAGACCAATTCTGAATGTAATTATAGGCAGGCGCACACATCAGACACCTGGATTTAGGCTACTGGTGGTTGCCGATAAAACCAAAATCACTGTACTTCTGAGGTCTTAGGGTCTTGAAGCGTACACGGTTAAATATAAGCACTGTCAGTAAGGAGGCTGACGTGAGCTTGAAGCGACTTTCTAACATACATCGAGTTCAAACACAAATTCAGTCCCATCTGTTCAAATCGGCTCACAGCAGCGGGCAGTCCTAGGACAGCCATGATTAAGAAAAGTTTCCTGACACATGCAAGCGGGTTTCCTGTGCTGTGGAATACAGATCCGTAAGACCTCTGCCCCCTTCCCCTAGTCTGTGCTATTATTATCATCTACAGGAGCGAAATAACTACCGTTTAGCCAACACCATTGGCTAGAAAACAACCTCTCAGCCCACAGAACATACGTGATGCAGGACCGTTCTTCTAGAGAGCCACCTGATGATTCAAAAGTTCAAGTTATGCAAGATTGCCTGCACAAGCTTCTCCAGTTCCACGAGAATGGAGCTGTCTCTTCGGCAGTGTCACAAATGCTAATTTGCAAGACCAGCTGGTCCCTGATCATTGAGAAACATTTGCTTCCCTCAAGAAAGGAAGGACCATCCTCCTGCAACACAAACAGGCTGAACTGGTGTTCATCTATTTCAAATCCATACAGCTTTTCTACAGGATTAAGCACAAAAAAAGCAGCTAATCTTTTTTTTTTATTTGAACTGAAAGAGGTCAATAATAGTGTAGCTCTACACTATCTGAACTACACTAGTATTTACCATGGAAATCTGCCCAGAGACCTCAAATCAAGTTCTTGTACAGAAGCCTTCTCCATCTCAAAGAATTGAAATAAAGAAAAATCAAACCAAGAATCAGAGTCAGGGAGTAAGTGTGGGGGTGGGGGGGGGGTGGAACCAACAAACTGATTTTTCAGGTGTTTGGCCTGGAAAGGTTGTGATGGAACGAGCTGGCACAGCAGCTCTCTAACCCAGGCTCTGAAGGTGGCTGCCACCGCTTCCCAGCGTCTTCATGTTTGACAGAACCACCTCTTAAGGCAGAATGACAGTTCAGTTTTGTCTCTGTTCCAGAAACCACTACTGCATCTACTTTTAGGAGTTAAGAGTCAGCTTAGTCCCCTCAGGAAATATGAATTGCCACATAGGATAAAGTGAGTTGTCCATCACCAATGCTGTCTTCAACAGCTGCCATATCCACATGATTCAGAGGAAGACACAAGAAAACCTCACAGCATACAATTATGAAGCAATCAGAAGGTTTCAGATATGGCATTTCCTTTTGATGTTCCTTCAGAGGTATCAAAATCCATATTTCCAAGGCAGCATCTCCCTGGAACTGGGGCGCAGAAGTCTCCTGCCAGGGTAATTTTCTCTTCCTCAATTTAATACAGATTAGCATCTGGAGTATTTGTCAATGCGTTCACCTGCTTTTGTGAATTTATGCAACAACAGCTTTTCTTCTTCAATGTTTTTCACCTGGAAATTACCCAGATTCCTTGAGATTTTATTTCTTTACTATTTCATATGTTTATTCAGCTTAGTTGGGTCCCCCCTCACTGTTGATAACAGTCTATTTTAGATACAACTTATCCTTTGTTGAAGCTGCCTATGCCAGAAACCCAGATTAAAATACGTCTCTTGCTTCCTTTAGTTTAGACTGGGCCAATTTGAGGTTCAGACATTGACTAACCTGATGCTTCTTATGGATGAAGCACTTGCTAGCCTCTTTATGAAAGAGCTTTTATCCGATTTTATCTCCTATCAAGGGATTTTTACTAAACACACACACAAAAAAAATCTATGCAAGATTTCTCACTGGCCTCCCTCCCACCCACCAAGCTCTTGACAGAAGACACCCTCCAGGCAAGCCACGGATGAACAGAAGCGTGTCATTACAGTAGGATCACACAGTCCTTCCATCTTACTTGCCCACTGTATTGTGTTTGCATGGCAAGGTTTTGGTAGCGGGAGGGCTACAGGGGTGGCTTCTGTGGGAAGCTGCTAGAAGCTTCCCCTACGTCTGATAGGGTCAATGCCAGAGGAACGCCTCTGCAGACACCAAGGTCAGCGAATAAGGAGGGGAGGAGGTGCTGCAGGCACCGGAGCAGAGATTCCCCTGCAGCCCGTGGTGAAGACCATGGTGAGGCAGCTGTACCCCTGCACCCATGGAGACCCCCGGGGGAGCAGAGATCCACCTGCAGCCCATGGAGACCCACGGTGCAGCAGATACCCGCCCGCAGCCCGGGGAGACCCACGGGGGAGCAGGGGGATGTGCCCCAAGGAGGCTGTGACCCTGTGGGAAGCCCAGGCTGGAGCAGGCTCCTGGCAGGAGCTGTGGCCCCGTGGAGAGAGGAGCCCAGGCTGGAGCAGGTTTGCTGCCAGGAATTGGGACCCCGTGGGGGACCCACGCTGGAGCAGTTGGTGAAGAGCTGCAGCCCGTGGGAAGGACCCACGCTGGAGCAGTTCATGGAGGACTGTCTGCCATGGGAGGGACCCACGCTGGAGCAGGGGAAGTGTGAGGAGCCCTCCCTGTGGAGGAAGGAGCGGCAGAGACAGCGTGTGATGAACTGACCGCAACCCCCATTCCCCGTCCCCCTGCGCCGCTGGTGGGGAGGAGGGAGAGAAATCGGGAGTGAAGTTGAGCCTGGGAAGAAGGCAGGGGGTGGGGGAAGGTGTTTTAAGATTTGGTTTTATTTTTCATTACCCTACTCAGTTTCAACTTGTAATAAATTAAACTGATTTTCCCCAAGTCGAGTCTGTTTTGCCCATGATGGTGAAGTGATCTCTCCCTGTCCTTATCTCGAGCTTTTTGTTGTATCTTCTCTCCCCTGCCCAGCTGAGAAGGGCAGCGATGGAGCGGCTTTGGTGGGCACCTGGCATCCAGCCAGGGTCAACCCACAGCGCACACATTTCCAAGGACACTGGGGACAAGAGCAGAGGATGGGCAGGTACCTTTTGGACAAGAAAGCAAAAATGCCTGACATTCTAAAATACAATGAATATAAGAAAACAAGTAAAAATAATGACAATGTGCATTCCTCTATGCAAAGGGAAGACAACTTGTCCTCGTTCCAAAGTACTTTCAGTATAAAGAGATAGAGAAATGGACGGGGAAGACATCCATCACAAAGAGCAGCATCCTTTCCACTGACAGGGAGGCACATTAAAAGCGCTTTCAAGTATGCAAGCAATGACGTGGCTACTCCCGTGTTCAGTCTGATCAATGAAATTTAACATCTTCCAAAACAGCAATTCTTATGGTAGACGTCTTGATCTTCCTCTGTCTAAAGGTCTGCTACCTGATACACATCGTTCCACATTCAACATTTGTCACAGCATTGTACCTTTTAAATGAGAGGTCTTTGGGGGAGAAAATTAAATATGCCTCAAATTCAGAGGAATTAATTAGTTTTCTGTCTACCCATGTCAAACCAGAACATCCGTTTAATGTCAAGGATCACTAGGGAATTAATCCAAGTTAAATTTAAGGCAATTTGCTAGTAGTTAAAAATTCAGGAAGCTTCAAAACCCTGTGCTCTTGTGTTCCAATTTCACATGCTGTTTTGTGGCTTGTTGTTGGGGTTTTTTCTCCATTTTCCTGGTAATTATTATTTATCTCCACTTAAAAGATGTTGAGGAAAGATTTCTCCAGAAAAGCAGTACTCTTCAAACTTCTAGTGGAAGCATGGTAAAGATGGAATAGACTGTGAAGATTTTGTAGAAACAGACCTTGAAGACCAACGATACATTTTTTGTTTTATCTCAGGTCTTTTAGTACATGGGAGGATTTTGAAATTGAGCACCTACTAAAATCCTGGGCCTGCGATGACAGCACATGGCCACAACACAGCTTTCCAAGAAGCCAATGAACCATGAAAGCTCATCTGCAGATTTTCCACAAAATAAATTGTAGCAGATCAGGCTTTCTTCATAAGTCAATTAGCAGACAGTACAGTAATTCAAGTCTATTACTTTTCCAAGAATAACTACAAAAAATTGTCCCTAAGCAAACACCACTTGCACATAACAGCAAAAAGACCAAAACATGAGCAGATTTAATAATCACTTTCATGCAAACTTCTGTCAAGACACAGGCCAGCTTTTTATTTTTCATGTTGTCAAAAACCTGGTCTTAAAGTAAGCATTAATAATTTATACGATCTTTAACCCTAGCTAGAATGAACCTAGTTCTACAAATATAGCATCTATGAAAACTGTTTATTTTGTGCTATCACTACAGTTATTTGAACGTGAAAATATCGCCTGATGACATAATAAGAGTCTAAATAAACACAACCTTCACCTACTGTTGGAAAGGTTTTAAAAAGAGTAACCAGTAATACTTACAAAGCCAACCTCTCGGTGTACGAACCCATAGTAAGTCTCCTGACCAAAATCTTAACCCCAGTAAAATTAAGGGGTACAAATCTGTTGCATCTAAAACTCAGTGCATTATTTGAATTTTGACAAAAAGCCACAGACAAGGAATGGAGTATACAGATGAAAGCCTCTACAGTACAGTCCCCTGGGAAACAGTGGGGACAAAAATAAACTCCCTTCACTCAGAAGGAAAACAGAGGGCGGGGAAAGACTAGAGGGGTTTCTTGGGTTTTTGTTGTTGGTAGGGTTTTTTGTTTGTTTGTTTGTTTACTTTTTGCTCTCTCAGAATATAAGCGAACGAAAAATTTAAACTACATGACATGTAGTCTGTTACAATTTTCTAAACATGTTTCTACACTTAATACTAAGGACAAGTTATGAGTACCAAAATATTCACTAGTGCACTCCTCCACCAGTCACTCTACGCTCCCTAGAGAAAACAGGCTGACTGGAATTTAACCAAAAATGTGTTGTTTCCTCCCCCCTCTCCCTGCAGAGAAAAGTAAAAACAGATTAAGGAAGAACTCAAATTCACTCCAATGGTTTATTATAGAAAAACCCAACAAACACACCCCACTTCTCTGCTTCCCCTGTCTCCTGTCCACGTCTCCACTCCCAAGACATTCCAACATTTTTTAAATTCCTCTGCAAAGGAGCTCTGTAAGGTGAGATTGGGCTTGAAACGCCTCCTTGCACAACAAGACAGTGTGTCTATGAGTTTCACTTTTATCCAATTAAAGACAACAGAAATGCATAGGATTCCTCCCATCCATGTGCCCTGTGCTGAAAAGAATGGAGAACAAAAAAAAAAAAACCCAACGTAACCTTAGCAACTGAAAAGGGCAGTACCTGTACTTATTCTAAATGAGAGAGCAAGAAGAGTCGGGATATTAATGGATGATAACTCCCTGCAAAAACACTGCTCATGAGCTTTACAAGTACAAATCTCCAGAAGTAAAGTGTTTTCTCCTAAGTGTGTCTGAAAAAGAGGAGCACACAATTCTAGAAGAGTTTTAGTTTCTTGATACTAGATAACCCCAAAATTATATTCGTACATTCAACTTTGTTCAAAGTGGCTGCAAGTAACAGCTTATGAAAATGAACAGTTGCCAAAAAAGAAACTCTTCTACCCTATTCCGATTCATGAAACTGATCATTTGCTGTTTAAGTTGGTCATTCCAACCACAACTCTGAATTCAAAGAGAAATGGGCAGATGTTTGTAAACAGACCAAACCAGACCCTGGGGCCAAAGAGGTTACTCACAACTCACGGTTTCATGAAAACAACAGCATACCACTTTTCCCTTATGACCGGGGATGAGACTGTTTAATTACAGCCCAACAGTGCATGTTCATCCTTATGGGTTAGGAGTCACAGGAAGAAAATAAAAGTTTTGTCATTCAGTTTCAGAAATACTATAGAATTACAGAAAAGGCAAGAATTTGGGAGGCAAACCATTGTCAATGAACTTCAAAAAATCCAAACTGGTTATATTTTTATTATTGGATTTGAAAGACCGACTCAATTCTCAATGCTGTAGGGGAAAAAACCAAACCAAAACACTGCAAGCCCCTACCAGTATTTAATTAAAATCTGCCTGATGAGGATTCACTAAAATTTCTCCAATTTCAAGCCAATGCTACCCCATCATCGACAGCATTAAAAAAACATCTCCGTAGTAGCTACAATCCAGAAAGCCCACAAGTAAAGTTCGAACAGCAGCAGCAGGGCAAGCATTGCACCTTCAGTAGCTGTAACCCGCCGGCAAAGAAATCACTCGCTCGAACAGCTAGTTCTCAGGGCGGGCAAAGAGACTTCAACTCCCCGTCGGTCCAGGTTAGATTTAGTCAGGAAATACAATACATTTAAGAGGTCATCAGTTTACAACGGCTTCTACCATTAAAATACATAGATCTGAATGCAATCAGGAATTAAAAGGCGGCCAATTTCAGCAAAAAGAGTAAGGACATGCAAAACACTACACGCTTCTAGTCATTCGTATCATCAAAGCTTTGTTTCCGCAATCCAAACACGAACCAAAAATCTAACTCCAGTAAGCAGAACACAAAATAGCGGGGAACTTTCATTAAACATTTCACTCGCTACTCCAGAACTTCAAACCAGAGACTTGGCTTTGGCCTTTGACCTGTCAAACCATCTACCTGATGTTACGGGGCCAGCTATAGCGTGCAGAAGCTGGGTACTACAAAAGTGCAACCAAAAGACAGAATTTCTGAAGGTATCTTAGAAAAATCCATTTATTAACCTTCATTAGCTCTGACAGAGCATGAAGAATTTCAAGAGAAAGCCAGGTCTGAAAATGAAAGCTAAGGGAAAACTGTTAGCCTCCACGTTTTGGAAGGAGGGCAATCAGAAATTAGAATTAGAAATTTAGAAACCGTAAAGCTAAAAATAGGATGGGCGAGGGGGGAAAGACCAGAGACGCACATTTTGCTAAGTGTTTTTCACGTAATAAGTGGTGAAAAGATTTTTAGTGATTTTGTTAGAGAAAGCATGCAAACTTTAGTATTAAACAAAAAAATAAAATCCAATTCCTCCTTACCAGTAACAAACTGGGTTCCAGGTCTAGTGTTTCTCCTACAACAGCTGAGGACATCAACAGCCCTAGGGCAGCACAGGTAGTGCACTTCTCTGCGACCTTCCAGTAGCACTGGTATGAACTCTTGTAGGAGAAAGACAGAACTACGATAAAAAACAAAACCAAAAGACGCGATTAGCATTAAACCACAAGATTGCTGAACAACAGTGATACATTTTAAAGCGCTTTCCCTCCAAACTCAGTTATAACACTCCTTCGTATGACAATGAACCCCCAAAAACATTAACTCAAAGCATATCAATACATTGCAGGTAATTAAATCCTCGTTACCTTTTTGCGGTAATATAAGCAAGAGTTACTTCTTAAAGTATGGGAAAAAAAAGTCTAATTTTAGATACTAAAACTTCAAACAGATCCTTGAAACAACAGTGTTTCCTGTTTGGTAGCTTTTCAAAACATTCTCACTTTAATGACTTTTTAAAGAGACATTTGTGGCCTGAAGGGCACTAATTCACCTTATCTGACCTATAAAACACTGAGGTTAAAAAGCTAACAATACAACTCCTGGGGGAAAAAAAAAAAAATCAAGTTTGTAATGGAATATTCAAGAGAATTTCCTCTTGAAATATTTAACGGCCAGTTTCTACTGGCTGACACCATTCTAGGTTAAGAGACTAAACAATCCCAAGATTTGGAAAATTCTGTGTAAAATATCGATACTTAGGTATAGTAAGGCACCTTCACAGATAGACTTCTCGGGTAAAATATTAACATTTACGATTACAAGGTATAAAGAATAGGAAGAGTTCATCTACACAAAGGGGTTTTGTCTGTGAGGATGCATCCACTATAACTATCATCTTGTACATCTGCTGTTCTTATACAAACCAGGCTTTATTTTCTTTAGAATAGCATATTCACTACACTTGCAACTTTTAACTTCAACTAAAACTTCTGACAACACTTTATTCAAAGCTTTATGCTGTTTATACGCTGTTAGTCATTACGGCAAAGTATGTGCCATGTATTTCTGATCTCTGTATTTCAGACGTCTTCAATATACAGATTAGCTCTCTTAGTGAAAATAAGCTATAAATCAATACTGTTGATTTCAAGACTGACCTTCTGTAGTAACAGATTGTGAAAGAAAACATCAGAAGACAAAAATCAAGAAAGCTTTTCCAATACAAACTAATGTCATTATAAACGGTGAAATAACATATCTAATAAACAAATGAAGTAATAAGGAAAACCCAAGCATTCTTATGGCAACAAGCAAAACCGTGAAAACCTTGAAAACAAATATGACCCAACTGAAGCAAATACCATTGACTTTGTTCTCAATTTCTATTTCAGACTGCCAAGTCTTGCCTTTCTCTAATTCTGATTGCTTCTCCATAGCAATTGTTTTGGCTAGCTCTTTTTAGTTCTGTTATGTAGACAGTTAAAAAAAAAAAATAAAGTGGGGGAGTGAGGGAGCCAGACCAACACAGACACATAGGAAATTATTTGTTAGCAAAGTGTAAAAGTAATACGTATTTTCACTCAGTTTTAGGACCATTACTGTTAAGACTCTCATTTACACCTCTGTCCCAGAGTCACAAAATGAGCCAGAATAGTCTGGTAAGAATGGTAAAGCTGAGACCTATACTATTTTGCACTGCTCTGTGTTTCTTCTTCTTGTTTTGAGCTCTGCGCCTGTTTTCCTCTTCTAATCGAACCGAAGAGAACCAAGTGACCGTGATTAATGGAGGCAGCCCTACCACAAGGTAGGAGCAGAAGGATAGCCAGAGGTTATTTCTTCAACTTTTGCAGTTGGGTAAGATTTCTAAACCAGCCTTTGTTATCAATGTTAAGTCAAATTTTATAAAGAAGTGTAAGTCCTCATGACAATGTTCTCTCCAGCTATTCTTTCTCTCTCTTTTACCACATTACAACCATATCTTTAAATGCTGAGAACTTACCAATATTTGAAAATGTTTTCTGTTAGCAAAAACAAACGTCACGATGCTTCACAGCTGGATAGTGTGTGATTTAATGAATAGAGGAGAATGGTCTCTGGTAACAAGCTCCAGAAGGTTCATCAGATGTCCTGTATTTGGGAATGGAAAGAATAGGAGGCAGAAATTAAAATCGAAACTTTAACTTAATACAAAAACCTTCAGTGTCACATAATTACAAGCAACACTTAAAATAACTGCACATTTACAACGCTGTTTGCCATTTTGAACAAGAAATATTCTGATATATAGGAAATATATTCTAACATATAGGAAAAATTATTCAGCTCTTGTATTAAGTTAGAGTTTAACATACAAATTTTAAGACTATTAAGAACTTCTAATGATGCTTCAACAGAAGTGCTTTGAAGAAGTCACTGTAAAAAAAACAGTACTTTTATGAGGATTTCAAACAACGTTAACAATATTGCTTGTTCTCGTTAACATCATAAAGTTTCAGTTAGTATTTCTGCGACACCTTCCATCCACACGCTTTAAATGGGGTTAGTATTAATCTAACCTCAGAGTTACAGTGATTCCCCTCCAAACCAAAATATTTGCCTAAGGTTACAGAAAAATTATGTCTCCACATTATACAAAAGTAAGATATTTGAGTTCTATTCCCACCCAGCTCGACTGAATCACAGCCTACAAAAGCCAGTGTCACCCTCAAGTCAAAGAACAGCGTGCACAACAGTAGTCAAATAAAGCAGTTTGTTCCTCTTACAAAATTTAAAAATTTTGAAAAAAAGAAAACCCACAAAGATACAGAAAAAATGCAAATACCTAACAGCAGGTAAAAGTTTTCTTTCCCATGCCTGTAAAAGCTATGCAGCCCAAAATACAATATTCTAACTGGTAACAATTTGCTAATACAACAGGATACACCTTTCCTTACAGGGCACTAGGTGCGTGCGCTAGTTCAAAATGCTTACTTGCAGTAATATTTCTTTGCATTTCCTCTGCATTTCACTTACTCATTTCCCCATAACTTCCAATTCTGTCCATGTGCCTGTCTCTCCATCCTCTCTCTCCTTTATGGAGAGCTCCATCACATCTTTCCCCTATTTTTGCTCTCTAGCCTCCCTTGGTCACACCAAGAGAACAGATCCAGCACTACCCATGCCACGGACCTTGCAGAATGCAGTAAGAACATGGAAGAGCTGGCCAGCACTTAAAAAGCAAGTATCTTACAGGGTACCAGGCTTGAGAATTCTGGTGATATCAAAAAAAAAAAACAAACCACGAATTTAGCTACAAATACATCTGCTACTCTAGCAGTGAAGATTAAAAAAATCCAAATGCCCGTGGCTAGTATGACACTCACCTGTCCAAGTAGCATTAACTCCTACAAGATCTTAAGCTTCCACTAAAGAGAGTCACAAAAGTAATCTAAGCAAAAAGATTTTGCCCTTGTGCATCTACAACGTAAAAAGCACCTTTTTTTTTAAAAAAAAAAAAAAAAAAAAGAGGATTAAAGAGCTGCAAGCATGTCACACTGGGAATTGCCCTGAAGAATGGTTCCCCGAAAACTTTCTCATTGTTTTTTGACTTTTTAACTAGGGGATCTTTGCTAAAGTTCCCAAACTCAGTACGTAGAAAGGGAGGGAGCCAAAGGAGGAGGAAGAATCACGAGGTAATTTTTAGAGAGAAGTACAGCAGTGGGAGGAACCACGGGAAAGAGCACCTAAGAGACAGAAAAGACACGTAAAGAGTCAGGAAAAATCCCAGAGTAAAAAACCAACCAGTGCAAAACTAAAGATAACATACGAGGTGCTCTGTGAACAATCTAATTTCAGTTGTGTAATTCGTGGGACAAGCACTTAGTGCCTTGGGTAAGTATCCCTTTTTACTTTTCAGTATAAATCTCATAATCCAGATTTGATCAACTATTATTAATAAAAAAAAAAAAATAAAGAAAAAGTGGATTGAAGCCAAGAAGGATACAGCGGTAATAAGAAGGAAGTCAATAAACTAGTTTTATGTTTAGCCACCACCTCATTCTCCAGTACTGCAGTGGCAGGACTTTCAGGAGCACTGCATCCTGACTGCTTCGTTATCCGTACTTAAATCAGTTGGTGTCAGGTTTGGGTATTTTAAGCACCCAAAGGCCAATACAGACCATCGATCCCTCTCTTTCCGAGTATGATTTGAGCACTAGTCAGAAAGGTATTTCCTCCAATGGTATATTAGTGCAAAAGGTGCGAATTTTGTTTAACCCTTTCCTCAAAGAAAGCGAGCTAACCACCCAAAAATATCAACTCTTTCTGCAGAGTTCTTCATCGCAAGGTGAGAAATACCAGGAAGCAAACTCGCTTGGCTGGAATAAGCAGTTTGTTCAACACACGAGGAGGAAATAATTAGGAAAGATAACTAGGTATTTAAGTATACACAGGTATAAACATATTCTTTAATACATAAAACCCTACTCACTTTTCTAAGTAGGGTTCTTAAGCGGCTAAATTCCTGGCACACGCTCTGACATTCTTGTTACTAAGTTTATTTTAATCCATACACAAGCTACTAGCTGTGTTTGTAGAATATTTCCGACGCCTCGTTGCCTTCCCTCCATTACAGCAGACCCCAACTCAGTTTTACTATAAAGCAAGCGCCAGGCAACTTCCAACATCTGCAGAATGTTTTTCTTCCTGAGTGCATACACAAGCCAAGTGAGTAACGGGACAGAAGGGATCACCACTGTGTGGGCTGGAATAAGAGGGCCACATCCCCAAAAAGCAAGGCAAAAAGGGCGAGTTTCAGCTCTACCTTGGCACCTACCTGTTAGGTTTCAGCAAAGCTACTGCCCCTCTCAGCAGCTGCGCCGCTTGTTCCAGCGCACACGTGCGTCCTTACCTACGCGCAACACAACACCGCAAAGCGGAACGCGTTTCCATCTAATTAGAATTACCGTCAAGGATCTTATCCAGCCTGCGAAGCACTCGGAAGCTATTCAAAACCAACATTTCACCAGCAGTCAAAATACAAACTGATGTTTCTTAAATATATGGGTATGAAAGTAAGTTAGAGCAGCTGTTCAGAAAATAACTGCACCACAGC